GTCGTGCCGCACGTGCCACAGACAACATGAGACCCAGCGGCTTCGCGCTCGGGCGGCGCGGGCACGCTACGCCTCAGTATTCGGCGGAACGGTTGGGCGGTGGCGGTATACCCTGGCAGGGGCGTTTTTGGACGACGTGCTCCGGTTCAGGAGAGTATGAACCGTGGTTCACGGTCGTTCCACCTCAACGACCACAGGCGTCCATACAGTTGGTGGCCACTGCGAGGAGGCACCCTACCAGCGTAGCGCTCGACCCAAACAAGGAGGGGGCATGGGGGGTCGTCGATGGATGACAGATGACTGGCAGAGAGATGCAGGAGGGCGACGAAGAGGACGCGACGGCCAAGGGACTTCTGGCGACGATGCGGACGACTGACGGCCGCAGCGACGAAGGCGGCAGCGGATATTTTTTTGTGATATGTTGTTGTTTGTGATGTTGGAGGTTCTATTTATAATTGATTCGCGTAAATTATATAAACAAGAAAACAAAAAAATAAATTAAAATATACTAAATAAATAAATATATTAAAGAGATATAGTCAATAAAAATGAGGCATAGAAATTAAGGACGAACCCCTGTGATAGGTGCGAATGTTTTAAAAGGTATAAGTTGTGTACGCTGGGGAGTTGGTTGAGGAGAAGAAATAGGAAATAATAGATATTCATAAAGAAAATAAAATGTACAAAACAAAATAAATACGTATTTCGTCGACGCATCATTCACCTCGGCGAAATGCTTGCCGCATGGCTACGGCTCCAAATTATTTTTGCGGGGGGGGGGGGTGTATGTTGTATAATGAAGGAATCAATAGTTGAGGGAATAAGTATTATTAGACAGGACGCGGCAAAAGGAGCCAGTAGTAGTGTAGGCAGTAGAGGACAAAGACCTTTGTCTTCCTACGGCGGAAGCAGGTCATTATCTGAAGAGTGATGGCAGCTGGGGGACAAGACAAGATGAGGTTTGGGCACGGTCACGCCAGGCGTCACACGAGCGACACGCTGTACCAATGCGAACAGGAGGTTGCACCAGAGACCGATGAGAGGTATAGAGGCGGGAGAGGCCGACACGGCCAGTTCGATCTCGAGTTCACGACACCGTCAGTATCTGTACTGCCTGTACCGTTTAGACTATTTGCCAATATGTACAGTTATCTGTGTCATGTCGCTAACTATGCTGTCTAGTCGGCTCGTACCGGGCACTATTATATGTATAGTATTTCGGGGTAGTGAGATGTTGTGATTTGAATACGTATCATTGTTGAGTTTGATTATATGATGGTATTTACAGCGATATCTCCGATACACTACGCATTCACCCTATCAATTACGGGGTAACGAGAATACGGTATTAACCCGCAGGAGTCGGTTGAAGACTCCCTTTCGGGGCACGATGACAGTGAGTCACAGCCTGTGCGGACTGCTCGATCGCATTTTTGGTCAGTATGCCGATGTCCTCATTAAATAACAGGGTTTACGCGATGTACTTATGTGAATGTGATACGGGGGACACTTCGCCATCGGTCACAGCAGCTACGAATGGCTGGACCCAGGCTGGAAAGTTTCCATAACCAGGCTGGATTGAGGTTAAGATTGGTATTGTTGAGCTCTTTTTCGGCATGGTTGTCAAGTCCCTGTCTTATATGACGTGGCATAGAATGATCGAACAATACCGAGCTGTGGCATTGATTATCGCGAACTTAACAAGATAATACATTCGTATGCTTAAGCCTGCCCAGGATAGACGTAGTTCTTGCCTTCGCTGCATGTTCAATGTGTTATTCAACTAGATATGACTCGAGTTATTGGCAGCAGGGCTCTGTGCTCGGAGTCCGTTTTCTCACGATGTTTTTTTAAAAAAAATAAAAGAACAACAAATTTTTCTTATTTTTTTTTTTTTCTTAATTTACTCTCTTTATTTTTTTTTTTTTATTTTTTATTTTGTTTCAAACAAATTATCCTGAGATATTCATTGGCAGATTTACGTGGAGGTTCTATGACTGTTTCAGGTAGCAGGGTTAACTGTGAATCGCGGAAGATCGAAGCGGTCGGCGGCGGGAGGGCACGGGGCTTTTACAGCGAATAGTGGGAACGTGATCCTTGGACCATTCATAATGCGCATCTGCTTTCGCCCAACCCGGCTGATAAGATGCAGGTATAGGGCGTATACAACGCACGAAATCTGAGGGACATTGGGAACGTTTTTTTAGGCTTGACCGCCGTGTGGTGCTCAAAATTATTTCGCGCATATTCTGGAGATGGCCAGGCGCGCCGCCCCGGGGGCCCGGCGGGGCGGGCGGCGGACCACGAAGCATGGCGATCGTTGAGAGCGGATAGATAGAGTGGAGGTATTCACACGTACTAGAATAAGGAGTTTGCAGCTGAAGAGTCATGCTCGAGATCGCGATGTCATTCCAGATCTTCACTAGACCCTTTGAACTAGGGCATTGTGAGATGCAGTAATTTGAGGTTTGGGTTGTGCATTGGCCCGGTCGCTCAGGTGGGATTGCGTGGGGATTACGAGCTCTCATTCCGGCGTAGGGTTCTACCGGCTAGCGGCATACAGGTGCGACAGAGAAAGAATGCCTGGCGGTTATTTGGGCCTTGCAGCGATTCAGGCCCTACGTAGAGAATATGCTGTGTACAGTCTACAGTGATCACCGCGCTTTAGCTTGGCTGTTTTCATCTATGAGGCTTGCAGGTAGGCTGCTGCGCTGGGTTCTATCAGTACAGGATATAAAATTCCAGGTCGTTTACAGACAGGGTAAATGCAATGCTGTTCCGGATGCCTTATCCAGGACTCAGGTGCCAGAGGATGCTCACATAGGGGTGGTAAGCTATTGCCATGATAAATGTGATGCTGAGATCTGCGCACGGCCACAAGCCGCGTCATTGTCATGGGTACAGTGTGATCGCTGTGATCGCTGGCTGCATGTGTTGTGCTCAGGTAGCAGCCCGGAGGTTGTGTCGAGTTTGCCACAATTCTTTTGCAGATTATGTACTACCTCGGCGGAGGTGGCCCCCGGCGTCTCTGATGGGTCGGGTTTTAGTCTTAGCGGGTTTTCAATGGAGGAGTTGAGGCAGGCCCAGAAATTGGATCCTTTTGTCGCGAAGCACGTGGCATTTTTGTCAGGGGGAGTTGGGCCTTCATACCCCTTTCTGCTTAAGGGGGGCCTCCTATATCGTGTCTCGAAGGATGGACATAGGAATAGGATCTACGTTCCGGTGGGGTTCCGTAAGCGGGTATTAGGTTTTTTTCACACGCAGCCTACAGCGGGACACTTTGGTTTTCGGAAGACATTAGCTAGAATAGCCACTGTCGCTTTTTGGCCCCTGATGTCTAGAGGTATCCGGGATTTCGTGAAAGCTTGCCCGACGTGTAGGGTCGTGAAACCCTCGTATCGGAAACAGGTGGGTTTTATGCGGACGACGGAGTCGTCATACCCGGGTGAAAAAGCCGCCATTGACCTGATGGGGCCGTTACCCTTGTCATATGGTAGACACGAATACATATTGGTGATTACGGATCACTTCTCTAAATGGTCGCAACTTATTCCGTTAAGGAAGGCTACAGGCAGTAAGGTAGCATTGAGTCTGGACAGATCGTTTTGTTCGATTTTTGGGCCCCCTCGCTGGCTGATCTCCGACAATGGGGCGCAGTTTCGTTCCAAGGCTTTTGCAGCCGTTTGCAGACGGTGGGGGATACGGCACAAGTTGATTACGGCATATAGGCCGCAGGCGAATTGGGTTGAAAGGGTGAACCGTAATATTAAAGCTATGTTGCAGTCATACGTTGCGGGGGATCATAGAACGTGGGATGTGCATTTGTCAGACCTGCAGTTTGCGTTAAACTCTGCAAAGCATGATACTACTGGGCACACGCCGGCTGAAATTTTTCTAGGACGTAAATTATGTTCGTATTTTGACCTCCAGTTGGGGGGGGGGAGGAGAGAGTATCGAACCCGCTGTACAAGCGGATTAAGGCCAAGCAACAGGCCGCAGCGGCTAAAGCTAAGTTATACTATGATACCCACCGCCGGGGCAGCACAATCGCTCCAGGGGCTAGAGTTATGATAAAGACACACCCGTTGTCAGACGCACGCAAGAACTTTAGTGCAAAACTAGCCCCTCGGTTTCAGGGTCCCTATACGGTGCTACGAATGACGTCACCTTTGAACGCGGTCCTAGCGGACGCTAAGAACAAAGAGCGGGTGTGCCATGTCGACCAGCTGAAACTGGTCGAATAATGGGCCATGTAAATACGTCGAGTAGAGGCATAACTCGGCAGGTGAAGAATCAATTATCCTGCCAGTTATGCGCGAACAATGGTGCTGCGCTATGAGCAACGGTAGCTGCAGCACATAGTCACATGCTATAAGAAGTGTACCCAGTGCATTTAGCATGTGATACGGTTGGTATTACAGACTCTCCCCCTGGACACTGCTTCGAAGGAGGGGAGAGTGTAAGGTGTATATCGTCACATACGAGTCGAAGCCATTCTACGGGATTCTACAGGATTCACACTCGGCCTACAACCTAGGATTCCCGGCAAGCCAGGCAAGGCCACGACGGCCAGCGTATATAAGGACCGCCTGGGATCGACTCGGGGTGCTCCATTCTACCAGACGGCCAGGACACCGACCGTGTAAGGATCCAACCCTTACAGTACTTAAACTAGAACTAGAAAAGTTTGCTATTATAATTAGAACTCTTGATTAGAATGATACAATAATAATGGAATAATTGCACTGCAATGTGTGTGACATCATGTCATGCATGTGCATGGCTGAGTAACATAATCATTAGCATCGATTTCACCTAAGACTGTATATTCTATAATTTTTGCAATGTAAGCTCAAATTTAGAAAGCAATAAATGATACTTTATAACATAACTCTACAAACTAATTAATTTGAATCTTTGATGTGTATACAGGCATTCTTCACGGAACTTTCTCCGTGGTGCTTTGCAGTCCAGAAGCACTAACACTACAGATATGGAGAGATATGCTTGTGAACTTGGGGGAGCGTCTTTGCTTATTCACATGTGATGGAGCACACTGCGTATCAGAGTGGTAATGTGAACAACATTTATTAAGACCAATTTGTTTAAATAAAAGCGTGTATTAGGTAGTTACTGTCACAGGTGACAAACTACGTGTAATTGTTGGTGTGATTTCAGTAAAACTAGTGAAGGTTGAGACATTGTTGGAATGTATCTTTTTCCATTGCTACATATTGATGAAAAATACAATTACTCATTTCTGAAAAGTAAATGTTAAGATTTCAGTAAATAGCTATGCATGCACACAAATAGAATGCGTGTGAGATTCTAAAATCTGAATGACAAACGATAGCATGGGCAATAAGTTTTTGTAGCATATCACATTATCATTTAAGCAATGGTCTCTCATACACATCGTTTCAGGGGTCTTGATTTTCGGCCGCAGTACAAGGATGTCAGCCAGATTTATTCGATCCTCCATAAGAACACGAGGTGGCTATTTCTAACTGCAACATGCACAGACGAGCTGAAAGTCAAGATCCTCTCAGTTTTGAATCTCGCTAAGGCAACTATCAAGACAGTTGCCTTAATACCGGACAGGTAACAACACCAATCATGTTTTCTCCATTCTTCTTAACGTTTTATGGCATACTACACCTATTTCAACTCAGACAACACATGGCCATGGCCAATATATGTTTGTACATTGAAATGCTGTTACACTCTTATAATAATATAACAATTAGCTTCTGTTAATTTGTATGCATAGCTTAAAACAACATTAGACAAACACCGACAGGCTTTACAGATTTTTAAATTGATAAATTAACAATTTACAACGCTTTTACTTACATAGGAAGAATATATACCTTGGTGTCAAGGCACACAAAGGTTTAGATTACATGGAGGAAGTGAAGTGGCTTGTGGATCACACCAGACTGAAGGGTTGCGATGCTGACAAAACCATAATATACTGCAGGTGATTACTTACACTAGATAAGAGGCACGTTTAGATTTCCATCACCAGTCAGAAAAATATTGAATATATTGTATCGCCGCGGGGATACTATGGTTTCACGTCTGTCCTGCCTATATTAGACTTTGACCTTTACCATATGTCCCATTCCGCTTTATAATTAGGGCCTCTAATTGACCTCGCGCGACCAAACCTGTTATGCTTACACATCTTGTGGAGAAGGTGTGTAACGTACCAAAACCAGGAGATATTTCATTCATACTAAATCGAAAGGGATACATGTCGGTGGCGACAACTGCTATTTCTAGATAATTAGAACATTATAAGTCTGATAATTTGATAGCTTAATTCTCTGGTTTTGGCAGATCCATAACCAATGTGGGAGATGTATTCCACAACCTCACAGAAGAACTTGGCGATGCAGCATGGCACAACCGGGAACATAAAGTAGAAAATCTAATAATCACCATGTATCACAGTAGCATTGGCAAAGAACAAGAAAAATACATCCTTCAGAACTTCGTGCAACCTACATCCAAAATCCGGTGCATTGTCAGCACAATAGCTTTCGGCATGGGCGTTCAAGTGCCTGATATTCGCAATGTTATTCACCTTGGTCCAAGTAGAAGCGCTCTGCAATACTGGCAAGAAGTTGGTCGAGCTGGCCGAGATGGATTGCCTTCCTCTGCTCACCTTTTACTTGGTCCAAGAGCCCTCGATACACGTCGCATGCAGGAGGACATGCTCCACATTTGCCACCAAGTTCGCGATAAGGGTTCTTGTGTGAGGCTGGCTGTCCTACAAATGGCTGAAACGCCAGAGCTAACAAAGCACCCAACATGTAGAGGATGTTGTGAGAAGGATATGTGTAAGTGTTCGGCGTGTTGTTGCTGTTCAGTCTGTCGCACAGCATATAATTATTTATAATTATTACACAGAATAAGTAAACAAGGAAAAATGTTATTCAAAGAAACATTAGTTCTTCACAGTCACAGACGAAATGACACGAATAACCCCCATATATATATATATATATGTATATGCATCTACATGCAACTTCCCACCTACGAAACTAAACTTGCATCAGAAAGCAGTTATAAACATAATGTATTTAAATTTATTTATATTTTACAGGCTGAATGAGGGCTTCAGGAGCAAGCCACGAATGAAGAGAGCACCTCCGTAAGCATACGTTTACTTAAAGAGGCTGGTTCTCAAAACAAAACGCATAAATACACCTACTAACTGTGAGCATACTTGCAGTACGAAAACATCACGAAATGTTCTCATTGAGCCAGAAATGTGGTCCGAAGTAGAGCATTTTGACAATTTCCTAATATACAGCCATATGCCCTGTTACGCGTGTATGTATATATAATATGCATATATAGCGGAACGACTGTGACTGCGATGTGCGATTATATAGATATCATATATATAATATATCAATGGAAATCAAACATACTAACGAAATCAGTGTTTTCGCGATCTGAGCATATATAATGAATTTGATTTTAAGACATGAAATAATGAATAAGATTTTTAAGATATCAAATCTGCTGCACATACAGCACACAGATAAGCTACCAGCGAAAAAAATACACGGGAGCGGCGAGCGATTTCGCTCCCATCAGCTTTCAAAGTGCTAAATATGTTCTTTGTATTACTGTAGATAAACCATTGTAAAAATGTCAAATTTCAGTCTTATATTTCAAAAGCAGCCTAGTAGTCTTCACAGAGCTAATAAACACAAGTTCCTTTGCTGGGATAGATAGATTTGCAGCAAATTTAAGGGGTAATAATTTAGTGTATCTACTTGGATGTTTCAGAATGAACTGGTCAAACATAACCAGTGAAGAGGACGAGAGCCTGGTCGCTAAGTTAGATCATAGGAATAGGTTCAAATGGTTGTGTGGAATGTTTGAAATACTATATTTTATTTCCTACTAGATTTCCATACCCACGGCGGTCGGGGGGAGGGGCGCCCTGTGCGGTACGGGACAGCAGAGTATAACGAGTGGTTTTGTGAACACTTGCAGGAGCTAGCTGTCCCGGAGAAAAAGAGAGACAAGAGCAACAGCAAGAGTAGGATCAACGTTACAGTCCCTATATTTGTGGAACCCGAGACACATTAGTAGCAGTAGTTTTGATGATTATAATGTTCATCATTTTACAAAAATATGAAATGACATATTCGCATATCCCAGAGTTGTACATTATTTAATTCCCATATCAAAACCAGCTTCAATGATGTAGTTCGGAAATCAATCTATTATTGTTTAAGCTGACACAAATATTTATATATCAGGGGTTAGTAATGACAAAGGAGTTTGACATGTATTCGATAATGATTTCACCCCTACGCTGATCATAGCGGAATATAGAATTGGCGGCAGGTATATATCCATAGTGTATGCAAACTTGACGGCAAGTTTATAGTCTGTCGTGAAGAGAAACACAAAGGCAACTGCAGTTTTGTGAGTACTTCGTACTTGTTCATAATAATTATTAGTGTATTTTATTTGTAGCGATAAAGCCGATAAGATGCTGGTGGCCGGGGCCAATCTAACTGCAGGAGAGCCATCAATTCACACGTCACCTCATACACACCCGCGACGGTCGGTGAGGCACACTGTGCGGTACAGAGCAGCGGAATATGGTGAGTGGTTTTCTGAACACTTGCAGGAGCTAGCTGTCCCGGAGACTGCTCGGGAAGGTCGTGTGAAGCGGATGCGTCGGGATC